GGGGCGGTCTCAGATTATGACTAGGCACCACATAACGTCAGTTAAGTTTGAAAACATGATGTACAAAATACAAAACCGGCCTCATTTATTCGGCTTTTCCAACAAACAAGTCTTCGCGGTGATGTCGTTCTCTGTATTCGCGGTAATGTCGTTTTTTGTGTTCGCGGTAATGTCGATCTTTGTATTCGCGGTAATGTCGCTGTATCAAAACTTATGATCTAAAACTGGAAAAGAACGAAAAGATGATATTTCTTCGATATTTCGATTGTGCTTATATACTCGGCTGACTGCAAAACACGACGGTGAATACCCAGGGGTAAAAAAGTTGGCAAAACAAGGCGTTTTTTTTTCGTTTTTAACGACCAAAAATCACGTTAAAGGTTTCAAAACCAACGCTTTTTTTGTCGTTTAAACGCGTTTTTCTTTAATCTATTCGTTCGAACAGGCGTTTTCCAGAATTAGCGAACGATCGTTAAAAGGGCTGTTTAAACGCGTTTTCTAACGACATTAAAATGATATAACTTCGAATATTTTTCTTTTTGTAAACGCGTTTCAACGATCATTTTAACGTCGTTAGAAAATGCGTTCAATAAAAATGCCAGAAAACGGTTAGTTTAACGATAGTTAGCAAACGCGTTGTCAAAGAACGCGTTATTCTAAACTTCTGAACGACAAAAAACGCGTTTAAAGGGCTCTTTTAACGATCGTCCGCTAACGTGTTCGGATAAAACGCGTTTTTCATGCCGTTTCTAACGGACGAGTTTAAAATATCAAAATCATCATAAACCTGATATCTGCCAAACAGGTGAACTTCTTCTCATGTTCTGTCACTACTTGTTCTATGTTGGACACACAGAGCGTCTCTAGAAACGACAATCCTTTGCAAAATAAAACTAAATTTCATTTACTTTGTATGAAACTATACTTTTTTCTGTTTTTAGGCTATAGGGTTTGAAGGAAATGAATTCCCATTTAATGATGCCAACTTGCCTACTTCCGTAAACAATTCTAAAGCATCACAACCAATAAACGGTGATGTTTCTAACGGTATGATGTTGTTTTACTCTGTTAATAACATATAGTATTGTTATCAAAGTCTATTAGTCCTTCCACTCTCTCTCAATGCTGTTAACAATCAAGTTGATATAATGCTTCTTTCTTAACTGTCGGCAAAATATTCTCATTTTCTCCATGAAACCCCTCTTTGATTAATATTCTTGTTTAGAAAAATTAACTTTCATTCCAAAATTTGCTAATTTGGGTCCATTATTTAAAATTTGTTCACCGGTCGCTTTAACTAGCAATGATGCTGGAAATATTATTACTTGTACTAAACATATTTACGAGCACCATATATTGCTTCAGGTATGCTTTTAGACTTTTAAGCACATTTGTGTACTATGTACATTCATTTAACTAATTTGAAGTTTGATATTATCCATACATTAAACGATTACTTGTTAGAATGTGTAACGGTTCAATTGGAATCATATGATGAATTTGAAATTATCGCTTACATACCATGCCTACTAATTAAATGCAATGTAACCGGTACAACTTATTCACTGATCAAGCTATCCAACGATCCAACAAAAGGTAGCTGCGAAAATAAAAAAGTTAGATCACATTTTAGAATTATAATTATATCAATCTCTCTCTAGTATTAGAAAAAAAGAATCGACACGGTTGCTTTTTGAATAAATCAAGAACGTTACTAGCTAGCGAGTTTGGATTTTCGCCGTTGAAATGAGGACATCTAGGAGCGTCCAGACATGTAAGACTCAGCGAGCTTCCAGAGATACAATAGGGATTTTCAGAAGGTCTCTCTCGAGAAATATTTGCTCTATACGCAACATGGCGACAGAATGCTGGAAGTTGAGAAGCTTGATATAGTGACTTTAGATCGGTTCGAAACTAAAAATAAACATCACCATTCGACTCAGCGTGGCCGATCAGTCCTATCTTGACCCAGTTTAGGATGATCCGAGGTCAACTGGCCGAAATCGGGGCTCTCGGGAAAAAGCGTGTAGCTGCTGAACGGAGCAAGCGAGCGAGCGAGCCCGGTCTTGCGTTGTTTTGTAGAGGATAGTATAGAGGATCGCACCCGCCCAGAAATATAGAAATTTCTCGTTCCCGCGAGGGTAGTTTTCCACAGACCTTCTAGAAATCCCTACTGGATCTCTTGAAGCTCACTGATTCTTACATGTCTGAATGCCCCTAGGTGTCCTCATTTCAAGGGCGAAAACCCAAACTCGCTAGTTCGTAACCTTCCTGATTTATTCAAAAAGCAACCGCGTCCATTCTTTTGGTCTAAACCATCTTTATTTGAAAGCATTTAATAAAACATTTCGAAGCCATACTAGCGGATCCAGTGACCCATGTCCATTCTTTTTTGAAATGTATAGTAATAATCTAAAAGATATCTTGTTCTGACGACAGAAAATTAACTATTAAATTAAAAGACGATGATTCAAGTGTCTACAACTGATTCTTAGGAATCTTTTCAAGTCTATTGCTGCCTCCTGAAAAATATCGAATTTTAACTTTCGTTTTTTTACAAAATTCGTTCTCATCCTTCGTTAAAGAATTTTCTTCAACAAGAGATGTCTCCTAGCAGCCACTTTTTCAAGGCACTCATTAAAATGTTTATAACTTTTGAAGAAGACTTGAAAGGTGTCCTAATTTGTAGAAAACACGGCTCTGTCATGCATAGTATTTAACTCAAAAGTTAATTTTTTTGTTTCAGTGGGTTATCTTTATAAATGATGTTTAACTATGAATCTATTAGCTATGAATAATATTATTAATGATTTTATTTCGTTTTCACATAGTAACCGGTACATTAAAAGCTAAAATCAAATGCAAAGTAAAAGAACTTCTACTATCGACAAGTGTCTCAATCAACGAAGAAGAAGATTCTATCGATGATTTTCCGGTATGCAAATTTTTCATTATAACTACAGTAGTTGAAAATATCACCCTGGAGAATGTCCTGTTTGTCTGGTCTTGAAAGCACAGTGAAGACTTATTTACTTACAGGTGTCTGTTTTCTGTTTTTCTTTTCTTGTTCTAGTCAGGTTCAAGGTCAGAGCAAGAAAGTGATAAGACCAGATCAAGAGTCTGTTTTTTTTACTGATCAGACAAACAGTAAATTTTGATCTGGTCTTGATCTTTCTTGTCTGATCTTGGTATTTTTTGAGAAACAGACACTGGTCAGGTCGAAGACCAGAGCTAGGGTTTTTTTTCACAATCATCGTTTTGTTTTGCTAAATCCCATAGTATAGAGTAACCACTTAACTAATTCTTCGAAAAATTTATAAACTTAATTTATAAACTTAATTTATAAACTTATTCTCATAGATGATGAGTAATGTCTTGGAGATTTCTGTGCTGAACAAGAGATATCTAACGACATTCTGAATCTCATGGTTCCATTGGAAGGGTTCCAGAAAACTTTCTAGATTTCTACTGATTTTTGCGCAGTATGAGCGATCAGGGAACAGCACACCTAATTTTTACATAAATACAACAAGCGCGCGGTCTTGATTTCTTCCACTGATCAGGAGAAAAACAGGCAAGGACCTTTTTTTTTACTTACAGGTATCTGACCAGACAAACTAGACATCCTCTAGGGCAGTTATTATAAGTTAGAGATAATCGTTCATAAATCTTATTAGTGATACTAACCAAAAGAATGTTTTTTTATTGGTAACATAGTTTATTTCATTCAGCTAGACAATATTGATATAGATATGTGTGATTATATACAACCAGTATTGAAGTCTAATTGGAAAGCATTATGGACACAAATGGGTAGTAAACATGAAGTACGAGAGACATACGCTCTATCAATTTCAACAACAGTAGAGGGTATAATAATAAATGATTTTACACAACTTTACTTAAAAAAAGATGTAATCATTTAGCACCAGAGAGCTATTTTCTTGAAAAAAAATGTATAAAAGCGTATCTTATGGAGATGGAAGGTTTTTAGAACTAATTTAGCCAAGTCGAACTGAAATCACAGACTATATTAGCTGAAAATGCTTTAGGATTCTATGAAGTTTTCGATTATGTCACATAAATTGATCACGGACGAGACACATAATGATACAGATATAACGAGACAGATAATCACTTTATTCTTTTGCAAATATAGTATATTTTCAGCTTCATTTTCAACTGATATAGTTTGGAATTTCAGTTCGACTTGAATGAATTAGTTCTGAAATGATCTAAAACTTTCGCGTCTAATAAGACACAATGCTCATACTTTTACAGTTGTAATTGAATCTGATAGGCAAACACGAGAAAGAAAATATATCATATTTTTGTTATGCTAAGCCCTGTTCGCTTTTTGTGGAACTCCCTTGCTATCTTCGAAGAAGAGGGAAGTAACGGTACTTTAGGCGGTCACAACCTTTTAACGAATCGTCGTTGCTCATTTTTCTTTGAACTAATAACAGATAATTCCTTTTTTCAAAATAGAGGTGAAAAGAAACAATACTTTTTTGATTTTCATTTTTAGTGTCTCGAAATAAAACACAATAGTAGCAACTCGTTTCTAAGCAATTTTTATTGACCTTTCTTGATTAGTATAGGGAGTTTCACCTTTTGATACCATCCTGACAAGATTTTTTAAAGATTATTCACAGCTCTAAAAAATGTCGCCTGCATTTTGTTTTCTTCTTCTAGATAGCATTGAAGAACTCATTGACTATACAGGCATGCAAAATTGTGAACATATGGATAATTTTATTGAAGACCAGATGACACGCATTGTCTATTTAGCAGGTATCTATTGTAGCGGTGATGATGTATTGATTAGAGCGAAAATAAATCTAAGTACAATTGCAAGGATACAATTGTCAATAAGAAGTACAAATCAATTAGCTGTAAAAGGTATTGCCGCTGATTTAGCGGCGTATTATGATACTTTCAATAATCCTACATCTCAAAATGTTATCAGTTGTCGATTTTAAAGATTTTTATCATCTTTATTATTTAGTAAAAAAGCTAAACTAAATGATAGTCGAGAACTCTGTTGTTTGTCACCAATTTTCTTTCATTTTTTATCAAAATATGTATTAAATACAAAAAACTTACCGTGGAGTCATGAATTTTAAAAGAGAAATTATTTTATTATATTTCAAATAAAAAATATTTCGCCATCTTTTAGTTTTATGTCTCAAAAACTGCTATTCAACAAAACTCCAACAAAATTGGATTTATTTTGTATTGAACATTAAAAAAAATGTGTTGTATGAAAATGTGTAAAACTATGTTTCATGTGTTTTTATTTTAATGAATTTTATTGTCTATTGTAAATGTATATTTAAAATTTATCCTGTAAGATCAGTGAAGTAACTTCCTCTCGCATGTTTTACTTGTGGTATGATAAATCGAGAATGCAAAGTGAACGTAGTATATTGACTATGGATTTCAAAGCAAATGCATGGATACATGATATTACGCATTATCAGTATCGATCGTGTGTCTTTAAAAAATGGATGTAATTTAACAGACTTATTTGGTATAGTAAGTATTAGCAGAAATACTGTATGATGTACATAATCAGCAAAAATTTCATGTTAAATATGTTGTAGTTGTTGTCAATGCTGACAAACAAATTTTTGAAAATCATAAATATAATTTTTTCTTAGATATTAGTCAACAAATAATTTGATTGTATTCTAGTATTTTTCAAATTTGACCCAATCGCCTAGGAGAATATCGAATATCTCGATGTACATCAAGGAAATGGAACAATAATTACCATTCCTCATTTACTGATATCATACACTTGATGTGGAATATAAAACATGGACGACATAGCCGATTACAAATCGAAACACTTTTAGTCGGAATCGAAGTTCTTGTGAGGACAAAGAGAAGCGTTATGGTGTTTTCTAGAAAGTTTGCACTAGACGTCGGTTGATTTTTGATAAACTCCCGCAACGAAAATAGAAAATGTGATAGATACGTTGTATAATAATTGAAAAGGCACTTACAAACTGCGCTGTTCAAGGGTCTCCATTTAATGAACTGTTTTTTATTATCTGAGCAGTTTCTAAGTATGCACCGGTATCCATACCGAATACCGACTTTTATGGATTTTTCCATCTGAAATGAGTTAGTTTAGCGTCATGGAAAGCCAGAACACAAAAAATACTCAGCTGTGTATTCTGAGCATGTGTAGATAGAAAATAAAGGAAAACTTTGGCTTTAGAAAGCGCTCTTATTTTGCATCCCTGATTCTTTCTGAGAGTCCAGGACGCTAAACTATCTCATTTCAGATGAAAAAATCCAAATTAGTCGGTATTTTCGATATACCGATACCGGTGCATACCTAGCAGTTTCTAATCGCCAGAAGGCAAATATGTCGTTTATTAAATCAACTTGACAACTTATACTTATTGAGAGGCGTCAAAACGAATTCACTTTTCTCATATGATTGTAATCGAAAAAAAGGCTGACAGATCTAAGCGATTGAAGATACAATTTCACATCATTGCATTTTTTTCTAGTTGGTTGAAACGCATAAATTGTTCAAAAGGATTTTCCTCTGATTAATGTACAACTCATACTACTGATAAGAAAATTTCTATAAATTTTAGTAAAGCTATTTCTTTGTGTTTATCAGTCTAAGTTCATGGAAACGGTGCTCAAATGTTTTTGCGTTATTTCTAATATTTGATGAATTTACCATTACGAAGTAAAGATGAATGATGAAAGTAATACTAGTAAGATGATGTTGATATTTAAAACAAACTAGTGTCGAATATGTTGTACATGTCTGATTATTAGATGAATGATAAAAGAATCTATTTTTCGTCCTTATTATATACATAGTTTTATTTTTTTCCTTCTTTTGCTGGACGGTACAGAAACAGACAGAAGGTAAAGAATGACTGATGGAATATATATATCGTGCGTCGGCCTTGAACCGTCGTTACTGTCTTCATCTTTTTTAATCGTTAACTCTCTTTTAAATGTACAATGTACGATGAGATATGTTAGAATGGGCGGCCAACTCCTTTCTTTCATTTGAACTATACAATTGCACAATATTTTATACTATCAAATACACCGCTTTTCTAAGAACTTCTCCACCCATTTACTCAGATTAAAAGAAAGGTTTGTACAACTATTTTCTATTACTATTAACTATAAAAATTTGCGTACAATTATAAACAAAAAAGAATGATGTGATTCGAAATCTAATAGAACGTAAGTTAGAAAGAAAACTAACATTCTCGATTATAAATTGGATCAGAATAAATCTACACTTTCACTCTTTATTATGGATCCTGTCCTATCATACTGATCAGTCATCAGGAAAATCACATGCAGGCTGAGTGGTGTTGGATGATGATTTAATTTTCATTAAAAGTAACGCTAACTGATGAGGATTTTTTAGGTATTCATCCTTCTATAAACGTTTCTTCAAAACGTTAAATATTGATGTAGCTCGCAAATCTTATACAACCATGGTTGTTCAGTTTAGTACTACCATGGAAACGTTTTTCACTGTAATAAACATTTTTTTTAAAGATTTTCAAAAAATGGTATAATTATTCAGCGTACTGAAGTGAAAGCCGCATTTTTTCTATTCAAAATGTTTTTAGGATGAGTCGATTGTTCGCATAAATGCTGAAAAATGTTTGTATCTTTGTTAAAGACTCTTACCTCTGTAGCTTAACCAATATAATCGTCTAAGAGATATTAGTAACACTATTTTTCAGACGAATGTTAATGTATTAGTGTGACTATATTACGTTTTGTGTTGCTAAGTATCAAAGAAAGTAAGCAAGAACAACATTACTAATACGCTTGAAGGATACTTATCTATTTAATCTTTTCACTTTTCACCTATAGCAGAATAAAGAATGATAATAGTGAATTCAACGAGAGAATCTTTTTAAGTTCAAATAACCTTTCTGACCGATTTTAACAATATTTTTCAGAGTTTTCTATTAACGTATTCTGTTCGGACTGAGAAATGAAGGAATTTTTAATAGTTTTCCAGTATTACCGTGTGAACAAATGGCGTAACTTGAAAAATCTGAATGTTTCCGTTTATTTTGTAGATTCTTAATTAAAATATTATTTTATTTTTATCTTGTATAAAATGTATTTTATCCACAAATAAATTCAAATAGTTCATCATGCCGTCGACAGCTCTGGTATACAGTTTTTATATCTTCTAACTGTGTGATGATATAATTTCTTCTGTTTTCTTAGCCAAGATCCACAATTGGCATCAAACGTGAACGAACTACACCACCATCATCACAATCCATTACTCCACCTCTACCATCACAAATCGAAACTCCGTCAAAACGAACACATCGACGACAATCGTCATCTGCTACTTCAACATCGTTTTCCACTACATCTCGAACACGTACGACATCACAATCAACAACCACAACCGAGGGTGGTGATGAAGTGAAAATATTTACATCGTCTGCAGTCAATGAAGCAAATGGACAAACTACAGACGACGATGATATCGATGTGGATGGAATCGATGATAGGTTATCACCCGTCGTTGTAGAACCAGTAGGTTATTTCCTTCTAGCCTAATGTGCACATTTTAAGATCTCCATTCTATTAATAATTCAAGAAATAATCATTGAGAAGGTTTCGAACAATCTGTTGTTGACATAAAAAAGATAAAAGTTTTTTCATTTTTCAGGCCAGTCCAGTAAAGACTACCACCGACACATTGAACAGTGATACACCCCCGTCAATTCATCCATCATTTCCAAATGGTTATGGTGGTCTTTTTCCATATTTTCCCATGTTACCATATTTTAATGGATATCCTCCACAGACACCTACATCTACAAATAATAGTACGACAAATCTACAAGGTTTTGTAAGTACTTGTAACACTAAAAAAATTATCAGAGTGCTTCTATTTTCTCTTTTGATGTTTTAAGGATAAACTTCGATCAATCTCACCAGGAATGTATCCACCTTCTATGCCTATGGGACTGCTGGGAAGTCCAACAAGAGGTATATTGTAGATTTGGCATTATATCTCAACATCGTTAATCCGATTGTTTTTCTAGGTAATCTGAGTAATCCAATGTTTAATCCACATCAGTCGCTACATCCATCATTTCCGTATGGTCAACAATGGCGTCCAAATTTATTCCCATTTGGTTTACCATTTGGCTCTGGATCACCTCGACATCATCATTCACAACATCCTAATTTATTTGATGGAACAGAAAGAAGGTAAAAACACATTTAAAAAAACGTATCGTGACCGGTATAATCCCAGATTAAAGAATCTTACTGTAAGATCTTATAAGATTCTTGTACGATTCCATTTGATTTCGTATAAGAATTTGTAAGAAACACAGAAACTGATTCTTGATGTAAGATCTTATAGTAAGATTTCATTAGATTCTTGTATGATATTTATAAGATTTTTATAAGATGAAAGTTCTTCAAGTATGACTGATAACTCAGAAATTTCTGAAAGTTGAAGATTGAATATGTAATGTCTTGAAAATAACTTCAATTTGCTTGCATTTATTTTTTTAAAGATGAATCTTACATTGTTACAGATATAACTCAATCATTTAAAACTCTTATCTTCTTTTTTTTTCTGTTCGTTTTAGTTTAAATACAATATTAAATAATCAAAAGCCGAAAAAACCTCACATTAAAAAACCGTTAAATGCGTTCATGTTATTTATGAAAGAACAACGTCCACATGTTATTGCCAAATGTGTATTGAAAGAAAGTTCACAAATTAATAAAGTTTTAGGACAAAAATGGAAAGAATTACCAAGAAGTGAACAAGATAAATATTATGAAATGGCTAAAGAAGAACGTATTCGACATATGAAAGAACATCCGGGATGGAGTGCTCGTGATAATTATGGTATACGAAAGAAGAGAACACAAAATGGTTTAGCACATAAAAAACCACGAGAAAAAATACAAACAGAAAATGGTGGTATGTAAAAATATTTTATATTCTCTATTGAATTATTTTTATTTTCAAATATTTATAATTTTAGATTGTGTTAATCAGAAAAAATGTCGTGCTCGTTTTGGTTTAGAACAACAAGGACAATGGTGTAAACATTGCAAGTATGTTTAAGATTTTATGTTCAAATAACTAATAATTAATATAACTATTCTTTGTTATAGACGAAAAAAGAAATGTACTCGTTTCACAGAAGATGGTTGTTTATCGAATGGTGATGGGATTAATGGCAGTGGAAATTTAACGGGAGCCGAATCAAGTTTAGATGAAGAGGACGAAGAAGATGAAGATTTGAATGATGAAAGTAGAGATAGCAATGAAGAAAATAAGTGTGTATTTTATGCAACCTAATTTTACCCTAGACATATTCTATACGGGCATATCAAGTGGAAATTAAAAGTCTACTTTCTAAGCGTCAGAAGGAATGAGCTCTAACTTTGCAGAAAACTTTGTTTATTCTTCTAGATAATAATAGTGTTTGAATAAAGTGTCGAGGTCGTTACATTTTCAAAACGCCAGCAGATAGATGTCACTGGTGAAGCGCCAATCTATCTGCTGGCGTTTTGAAAACGTAACGACCTCGACACTTTGTTCAAACACTATTATTATCTAGAAGAATAAACAAAGTTTTCTGCAAAGTTAGAGCTCATTCCTTGTGACGCTAAGAAAGTCGACTTTTAATTTCCACTTTACATGGATAATTTAAGATTTTGAAATTGGTAGTATATTTGTACTCTTGAAAACTATTGATGTCATCATAATAAGATTCTTGTCTTTTGTCTATTTAAGGATGAATTTAACATTGACAAATAATCATAATCCTATAAAAATTGAACAATTACCTCAAGTACACTCACATCTTCATCCTCTTCACTTATCAATTGCACGACCACCTCCACAACCACCACTACCACAGCATCAACAATTATTACAGCCACAGTTTTTTCACTGATTGAGTATTTACGCAGCAATTTCTTTTCTCTTTTTTTGTTATCGCATTTTTTTTTCTCCTATGAAATCTCAAATTTTGTTGTGTTGTTTTTTTTTATTAAGAAAAATAATGACAATAATTTTTCGTTGGTAGGGAAAAATAAATTTTATTGCTTGAATAATCAGTAAGGAATATCAATGAAATCAGACAGTTTGATGTTATCAGAGCTAGGGTACTCGTTATCTCTACCTCAGAATCATAATGTCCTTGGCTCAACAGAACGGTTTTCGTTAACGGTCATCATAAAAATGGTCCGTTAACGATGTAAAACCACGCTGTTTACGTGAGTACTGCGTAGATTTTATTTATAGGCAAAAAAATTGCTCAGAACATTGAAAACGGTCATGTTAAAGATACATTGAAATGTTTTTTAATAGATGACATATTTTTAGCCATCTACAATTTGTTTTCACTGGTTTTAGACATTTTAACTCAAAGCGTATTACGGTCTAAAAGTAGAATTTTTCTAACGGGTTAAACAACTGTGTGTAACAAGGCAGTTAATAGCCCATGTGCTTAATACCGACGGTTACCGGAAGGTATACCGCCATAGTAAACGAAAATACCGTTGGATAACCACACGGTATGCCACTGTATACCGTCGGTATAATCAGTAGCGTTTTCGATATAACTTTGGCAAGGTGGGGGAAGCTTTACGGGGCAACTCTAATAAACCAAAAAAAAAGAAGCTTTTAACTTTTCGGAGTAATTTCTGTTTTAGTAGGAGTAAATTTTTTAAAATAAACGAAGTAATTATTTCGGACAAGGTAGGGGAATTCCCCCATCTAATCGAAGACCATGATAACCAGCGGTACTGTCTGGTATTTTCTCTTTATGAACACGTAGAACAGAAGTTTGAAACTAATTTTCAACTTTCTTCTTTTTATTGTTGAGCACTTGTAATCACAGAGAGACTCCCGATTGAGAGAAATTTGACTCAGTCGAAGTTCAGACTTCGACGAGTCTCTATGCTCTAAAAGAAAAGTTTAGTCTGAAGAAGAAATCAAGTTGAATTTTTCTGTGCTTCTCTTATATTTTCATGGGTGCAAAATACAACTTGGGAAATCGATAAAAACGGTTATCGTGCGGTGTTTTCTTAGACCGCGGTATAAGTTACGGTCGGTTAACCACGCGGTATACCGAGTGGTGTGGTATACTGACGGTATTTTGTTGAACCAGCGGTATTTTAAAAAAAAGCTCGATATGGGAGTATCATTTAATGACTGTTTTACATTGTTATTGACGCTTAATAGTCAATTATTTCTGAGATTAATTTCTTTTCAATGAATATTCTTAAATAGAGTAATTTCCAACTTCCTAGTATTTTTTTTGTTCTTTTAGGGTATTTCGCGCCCTATATTTAAAAAAAGTTTCGATCATAAGGTGAACATATCCTAATGTAGAGAAAAGTATGAGCTAGAAAATGATATCGCACCCACCGTTTCATGAGTTCCTTTTGAAAAAGTTATAAACTTTTTAAGTATTTTTTTTGAAGACTTAAAAAGACTCTTTTTCGTAAAATGTTCTCTCCTTTTCAGTATTTTGAAATTTTTTCTTATGCATAGTCTGGTAGAGCAAAGCGTCCTTTTCACAATGAAATGATACGTCTCCCAAAAGTTTCCGATACTTTTCGCAAGGACATAAGCATCACCCAAAAAAAGTAGCCTATATAATGTTATTTGTAATACTCAAATGACACTTAAGTACGAGTGGTTTCCATCCAGTCACATTATGATCCCTGAAACAATGGTCCGATTGAGCTCTAAGTTTTACCACAGATACGCCAGACTTCATCTCAGGTTTCTAAATTGTTTTAAAACATTTTCGACTTCAACTTTTGATGTCCGAAGGTCTTTAAAATAAAACATTTACATTTTCAGTATTTTTTAAATACTTCGAGAAGGAATGCATATTTTTTGCAAAAAAAATTTCGAATCTGAGATAGCATCTGGACTATCTGTGGTAAAAATTTGAACTTGATTGGACCATTTATTTATGTGACTGGATGAAAACCAGAGTTTTCTAGAAAATCCATGAAAAAGCATGACACAAAATTCTAAACAAAAACAAAGCGATTTTCTTGTTCGAGGACTGACCTCTAGTAAAATTTTAAGCCGATTGGACATTGGCTTCCACGTTTTTCAAGATGGTCAAAAAGGAGAAAGGGTTTTGACGGAATTATTAGCACTTTAACCCGGCTTATGGAATTTTGGAAAAAAAGAATTTTGAAAAACACCTTTAACCAAATTTTGGTCGCACGAAGCATTTTCAAGAAAAAGTGTTGATACAAAAATTGTTCAGAATCAGATTCTCTGAATTATGAAGAAAGCATTTTTCAAAATTTCTCCAAAACGCTCCAGGACTCTGAAAAATAGGCCCTAAAAATCTTTATTTTTTTCGATTTTTGACACTTCTATTCGATTTCGTATGCAAAAGTCCAGAAAATCTGAAACTCACACTTTCTTCTGGCTCAGAAAGAGACAAGAAAGTATCGTCAACATTTGAGTGCCTTTTCTCCGCAATGTAGAGTCTCACGAGGGAACCCCACGAGGTGATAAATCGCTTTTTGATCGACATCTAGTGGGTTATACGTTAATCAGTAGCGTTTTCGATATAACTTTCTCGACCCTACTGATCCCGAATATGACCATGGGGCTTCCCCATAGTTCTTCGAAGATCCAGTCTTCTGGAAAACCAGTTTTTCAGAAACTCCAAAAGATAACCCAAGCCTTTCTTAACAATTTAGAATTGTAGCGCGCAAATTTCTGATTAAAATGAAACATCTCCCAGCTCTACACGACCTTTCTTTGCAAAGTTATAGAATTTATAAGAAGAGCCCTAAATTAATTTTTTCCTTCTTATTTCTGTAGCTTTGAGCTGACAATGAACAATTTAGGGTTCTTCTTATAAATTCTATAACTTTGCAAAGAAAGGTCGTGTAGAGCTGGGGGATGTTTCATTTTAATCAGAAATTTGCGGGCTATAATCCTGCATTATTAAGAAAGGTTTGGGTTATTTTTTGGGGTTTCTGAAAAACTGGTTTTCCAGAAGACTAGATCTTCGAAGAGCTATGGGGAAGTCCCATGGTTATATTCGGAATCAGCATGGTCGATAACCTATAACCCACTAGATGTCGATCAAAAAGCGATTTATCACCTCGGGCGGTTCCCTCGTGAGCCGTTTTATAACCTTTGAAGAAATGTAATTATTCATAAATACGATTTCGACTTGTCATGCGTTAAGCTTTATAATACATGTATTAACTCCGTTCTTGATTACCCTCCATCTGCCACATAGTGGCTACATGGTCAATTGTGTCCCTTTGTATGTGTAATTCGCGAAGCTCTTATGAAACTTTCGAAACATATTTAATTCACCAGAGGGCTTCTTCATCAACTAGTATCACACAGCAATTCCACAAAATCTCTGTTGGCTACGAGTAGAGAACATTTTGTTTCAAAATTTTCGATTTTTTTCATTTTTCAAAATTATTGATTTTGTAGACCCGATATTTTAATAACGAAGCAATGAAGAGAAATGTTCTTTTTACCAAGCAATTGTCCATGAAGTTTGCTACAAAAAAGGTTCTTATCGTTTTTGAATCCGATGTTTCTTTTAGTTTCTACATTGTTCTACAAATGGTCACTCCAGTGACCAAGAGGGGGTAAATGGTTAACGTAAAAATAACTTAGATTCTTTACAGAAACAATATAGCTTCTGTAAAGAATCAAAGTTATTTTTACCAGTGTCAAAAAGTATATACTTGTTTATACTGGTCTTCAATCTAAACATCACAACCTAACTACCAGTAGATAGTGAACTGGAGAACTTTAAGCATCTTTAGATAACAACAGAGCCTCATGCTATCAGCTTCAAAAGCTTCACCTAGTCCAGATCCATCCTACTTCATTCCACTTTTATTCAAATTACTTCTTTTATTTTAGCTGATAAATGTTCTTGTGGTCATGCTTATTGTGCTACTTCTGCTTGTGATTGTGATTGTGTTTGTGGGAGTCATTCATTGGGTTGATGATCAGCGACATTCCTCATGATCATCTCTCGATCTATGTGTGAGGTCATGTTTCACTTTTGAGCTTTGACGATACATGATAGACGAATAGGAGCATTGTTATTGTTGTGGTGGTGATCCTTCGTTAGCTATGTGATCAATGACATTCCTCATGATCATCTCTCGATGTATATGTGAACTAATGTTTCAGTTTAGTACTTCAGACATGCGAGATATATGAATGGAATTATGGTGGTGATCATTCATTACCTATGTGATTAAGGACATGGCTCATGCTCATCTCACGATGTATAAATGAACTCATGTTTCACTTTTTAACTGCCAACAAGCGAGATATGTAAATGGAATCATACTGGTTATTGTGGGAGTCATTCATTCGGTTGGTGATCAACGACATTCCTCATGATCATCTCTTGATCTATGTGTCAGATCATGTTTCACTTTTGATCTTTGAATATGCGAGATATTTGAATTGAGTTATTGTGTTTGTATATACCATTCATGAGGGATGTGATAAACTGTATTGTGCATCACGAGTTTACGATGTAGGTAAGAGGGGATATTGTAGTTTCAAGCTTTAAAGTTGCAAGATATTTGGATAAAGACATAAAGGTTGGACATAAAGACATAAATCGTTGGTTAATGACTAACTTTTCGAATATGCTGTTCGAAAGAATAAGTCTCAGCTTACAAGGATCTGATCAAATTATCACATACTTTTGCCCGTGAAGAAAGTACCCACGTATCGACATAAACATACAAAATAACTGTGATCACAATGGACGAACACTAGGCGCTCTAGTAAAGGAGCTCCGAAGGACAATAATGATCTATTATAGAAGTAACATCACAATGAACTGTTGTTTTTAAAAGTAGACTGAAGCGATATATCAGAAGCGAAAAGAATGAAAAAGTTTTCCCTGTTCTGTGG